TCAAATTTTTTGATGGGCTTAAGGCCTGTGCAAATCCATTATTCCAAGAAATCGCCCCACCGCCCAGGCCTGGAAGGTGGCAAGGCAAAGTCCCCCTGGTAGATGTCTTTGACGAAGGAGGGGGTCTGGACGCGGCAGTCTGAATCCTCACATTTGTACATAGTGTATACATATAATTGTAAATATGTAAATATATCCTCATCCCTATCCTTTATGAAAAAAGCAGGGCGGTCCCTCCACGCCCGGTGATGAAATTAAGGCCTAAGGCCACAGAAAGTATCCTATGCTTACGGCATAAACTGTCATTTACCTTAAAATACCCTTGGGTAAGCAAAGGTCAAGCAATAATGTATATATACATTCATAGATGTATGTTGTAAGTAGTGTTAAATAAAGTTTCTGGGGGGTCAGAAAAAAAAAAAAAAAAAAAAAAAAAAAAAAAAAAAAAAAAAAAAAAAAAAAAAAAAAAAAAAAAAAAAAAAAAAAAAAAAAAAAAAAAAAAAAAAAAAAAAAAACACTGGCAAAGCTCTTTGACTTCTTTTTGGAACTCGGACTTCAGCAGCAGCAGCAGAAGCAGAAGGACCTCCTCATCACTACTATTGCCTGCCAGTTACTCCTCACTCTCGATCTTCTTACTAAGTCCAGCGCCTTAAGCTGTTGAGGGCCACACTTATCCCGTGGAACTCAACCTCGACAGCCAATCGGGCAGCAGTATACTTGTAAGAAGATAGCTGCTCTACAGCCTACAAGATGAACCCTGAGCATGTTGACCTACCATCGACGGATGAAGATGTTATCAACATGGAATTAGGAAATGAAGACCCACGGGCTGAGAAGAAGAGGCCACATAGCGATTCCGAAGGGTTCGTGCAGCCTCCACCCAACAAAGTACTCAAACCGAGGAGGAAAGTAGACAATGGCACAGCATCTACTTCGGTTTCTAACCGGTTTCAGGTGCTAGCAACCAATGAAGACCGACGTCCACCACCTATCATCGTAAAACCGGCCATATCACAGCCATCTGTCAAGAGGATGATGGCAATGATAAAGGTCAGAGAATATTTTATTAACAATTCTGCGAAAGAGACCAGGTTGTACGTAAGCAACGAACAAGACCACACCAAAGTGACAGAAATGTTGCTTCAAGATAAAGATGTAGAGTTCCATACATTTGCTCCGAGAGGGACAAAAAGATCGAAGAAATTTGTCATCCACGGATTCGACCTGGACTCTGACATGGAAACCATAACTGATGCACTGAAGCGTCGGCTCCCCGGCTTCAAGATGGCCAGACGCCTGAAGAGGACCAATAAGGCCGGGAAAACTTATGAAACGGAGGAAATCCAGCTCATAACTGAACACACAGTCAAACTGGAAGATATCCAGAGACTCGAAGCTATCGACTATGTACGCTTCAGAGTAAGGGTGTACAAAGAAACGAAGGCCCCAGTACAGTGCAGGAACTGCCAGGAGTTCGGCCACACAATGCAATATTGTGGCCGAACCTGCCACTGTGCCTGGTGTGGAGAACAACATTTGAACACAGAGTGCCCTAAGAGAGCTCCGGCTAAATGCTGGAACTGCAGCGGTAACCACCCTGCATTCTCAAAAGAATGTCCCTCCCGACAGAAACTTATGGAAACAAGGAAGAAGCAGGGCTCAGCCACCAGCACAATGAGGAATCCGGCCAAACCAGTCCGTAAGGACCTATCATTCTCTAATGTCATTGGCGGGACAAGCAACCAATCACAGCAGCCCACTGCCTCCCACCACCTGACTTCCCCCCACCACCAGACACAAAATAGCCCGACCCCAGCGATCACCAGCACACTTGAAACCCAGCCACCTAGGACAACAGAATCAACTCTAGTAACCCTCGTTGAGAAGATGTTGGACAGGATGGACACGATGTTAAATTTTATAACAACTCTCCTTCAAACCGTGATGCCCATCAAGAAAAATGACTAAACACCTCGTAGTCAACCTGAACATCAGAGGCCTCCTATCAAAGTCGGCCGAACTAGAGCTTTTCCTACAGCAGCACAGACCATCGGTTGTGGCACTGACTGACACAATGTTGCCCGCATCGTCTCGAGTATTTTTCCAGGGGTATACTGTGTACCGGGAGGTGTGCCCCCCGGGGAGAGCTGAGGGCGTCGCTATACTGGTCAGAAGAGATGTACCTTCAAAAACCATCACTAACCCAGTGGAACCTACCGAGGGAACTCACATAGTCACAGTGGATGTACGATTTAAAAATCGCTATACGTTCACCTGTGTTTATAGGAGACCGAGGGCAAATCTCACATCTGTGAAGCTCCTGCTACAACACGCCCAGGCGAGGAGTCGGCATGTAGTCATTGGTGACTTTAATGCTCGACACTCTTCCTGGCTCTGTGGTAGCGACAATCCCCTGGGGAGGTACATCACTAAGACCAGCCTGGCCGTCTTTCACCCAGGTGTGCACACTTTCCGACACGCAGCCCGCCCTGATTGGACCTCAACATTAGACCTGCTGTTAACCAGAGAACAGCACACCATTACGGACTGCCACGCACTACCGTATGGTCCCTCTGATCACCGGCCTGTGCTCTACACTTTCGAGGGCATGCCAGCCACACCGCCGGCGAGCAAGTATCTACTAAACAAGGCAAACTGGAAAGAATACAGATCTTGCGTTGAGAACACACTACCAGCTATTACACCGTGCAGGACTCGAGATGAGGTGGACAGTGCTGTGAAAGTCATCACCACAACCATCCAGGATTCAGCCAATCGTAATATCCCCAGGTTCGCCCCACAGCCCAACTCCATCAGAAGACCACCGCGGCACATTCTTGCACTGATAAGCCAACGGAACAACATCAGAAACATCTTCCAGCGCACCCGCGATTATAGTCTGAAGCCGGCCATCAATGCGATGACCCGGCAGATAGCTAGCCTCATGCGTGACTGGAAAACTTCTCTATGGCATGATCAGCTACGGAGGACACACGATGATCACCGCCAGTTCTGGAGACTCATCAGGACTTTCGTCAGCAAGAAGAGAAGTGTGCATCTGACAGAAGGTGACGCGCTGCTAACACCCGGGGAACAGGCTGAACTACTGTCGAAAAGCTATGCAGCGGGTGACGCAGAGCGGACGAGAAGTGCCCCTCCTGTACAGGATGGACCATCTCCCAGTCTCATCGAGAAGCCCGTTTTCTCCAGTATTAACCAGCTTGAGTCGGTACTACGGCGCACTAAGGGAAACAAAGCGTCAGGACAGGACGAGATACCGTATGTGCTACTAAAGATGCTCCCAAGGAAGGGTAAAGCCTTCCTCCTGAACATCTTCAACTCATGCCTGCGAATCTCGTACTTTCCCACAGCCTGGAAACAAGCAATCGTAGTACCCCTACTAAAGCCGGGGAAGAAAGGAGACGCGGCTGAGCACTATCGCCCAATCAGCCTCCTCTCGCACATCAGCAAGATCTTCGAGCGCTTGATTCACTACCATCTCATAAAACACTGTAGGGAGAAGAACATTATACCACCAGAGCAGACAGGTTTCCAACAAGGTGTCGCCTGCGAACACCACTTGGCGAAACTTCAGGCACACACCATAGAGCAGATGAATCACAACAGAGCTACGGCACTCATCTCACTGGACTGCAGTCAGGCCTTTGACTGCGTGTCTCACGCGCTGTTACTCCGACGGCTGGAAGAGTACAAGTTCCCAGCCCCTCTATGCCGACTGATCAGAAGCTATCTTAGCGGAAGATCTCTCGTCGTACGAGTTGGTGACGACTACTCTAACCCAGTCGATACCACCTGTGGAGTACCTCAAGGGTCTGTGTTGGGACCAATACTGTTCGTCGTTTTTACGGCGCCAGTAGTGGCACTCAAACACCCAAACGCAGTGGTAGCAGCCTATGCTGACGATATCGGGATCTATGCATCGAGCACTAATGCAAAGAGAGCCCTCAAGCATGCAGAAAAAGCCACAGAAGCCATCGTCGGAGAGCTAGAGAAAAATGGCATCAGAGTGAACCCCATGAAGACTGACGCTATCGTGATGTCGTTCCAGCAAGGGAAAAAGCCACTACCCACTCACTTCACCATCGGTAGTGTGGACCAGCGGATCTCCAACTCAGTAGTCTATCTCGGCGTGACATTGGATAGACACCTAACATTCTCCAGTCATGTCAAACAAAGACTCAAGCTGGCAAAACAAAAGTCACATAGGCTCTACCACCTGCTGAAGTCGCCGCAGCTCTCGCTGAGACTAAAACTGCAGATATACAAGGCGGTCATCAGACCTACGCTGCTCTATGGTGCACCGCTTCTCCGACACCTTTACCGGACGACACTCCAGAGACTGCAGGGATTCCAAAACTCCGTCCTTCGGCGAATAGTCAGAGGTACCCATCTTCAGCGATCCAGGAACAGAGACATCTACCAGGAGCTCCAACTACCCTCGGTCCCGGAATTCATTGGCCGGAGGCACATCAAATTTTTTGATGGGCTTAAGGCCTGTGCAAATCCATTATTCCAAGAAATCGCCCCACCGCCCAGGCCTGGAAGGTGGCAAGGCAAAGTCCCCCTGGTAGATGTCTTTGACGAAGGAGGGGGTCTGGACGCGGCAGTCTGAATCCTCACATTTGTACATAGTGTATATATATAATTGTAAATATGTAAATATATCCTCATCCCTATCCTTTATGAAAAAAGCAGGGCGGTCCCTCCACGCCCGGTGATGAAATTAAGGCCTAAGGCCACAGAAAGTATCCTATGCTTACGGCATAAACTGTCATTTACCTTAAAATACCCTTGGGTAAGCAAAGGTCAAGCAATAATGTATATATACATTCATAGATGTATGTTGTAAGTAGTGTTAAATAAAGTTTCTGGGGGGTCAGAAAAAAAAAAAAAAAAAAAAAAAAAAAAAAAAAAAAAAAAAAAAAAAAAAAAAAAAAAAACTGGCAAATCAGTCGAATATCTTTCTCTGACCGGCTAAGATGACTGGACGCGACAAGCGAGGAAAGTGTTTTGGCAAAGGAGGAGCCAAGAGGCATATAAAAGTACTCCGTGACAACATCCAAGGTATCACCAAACCCGACATCAGAAGACTGGCAAGGCGAAGAGGTGTAAAACGTATTTCGGGTCTCATCTACGAGGAGACCAGAGGCGTGCTGAAGGTGTTCTTGGAAAACGTCATCCGTGACGCAGTCACCTACACCGAACACGCTAAGAGGAAGACCGTTACCGCCATGGACGTCGTCTACGCTCTCAAGAGGCAGGGTCGTACTCTGTACGGTTTCGGCGGTTAAGTTCGACGTCGTCGTGTGTACCTGGTGACCGGGGGAAAGTTTCAACGGCCCTTTTCAGGGCCACCAAACATTTACACTGACTTTCTTAATTTATTAAAAACCACTGGCATCATCCATAAACTCCTTTTAAATTTGTCGTCGTTTTAGAAAATGTTTGTGATTGTATGTTCTATTAATATCCTTCTAGTCATTACGAAAGCCTGTACTTATGGAGTCCGGAATTCTCTTTTCAACGGCCCTTTTCAGGGCTACAAATCATTTGTTAACTTTCAACGTTCATAAAACCTCTGAAACATCTATCTACCAGATGACGAAGTTACTGGAGCTAGAAAAAGAAAGGGAGAGACAGATCAAAACTATTCATTTTTTTCTAAGGGAAGAGGGAGGGTGGTATGAGGAGAGTGGTACACAGTAGGTCTGACTGTCTCTGGATATGGGTAAAGTTGTTATAACAGGATCAGAAATTATCAAGTATAAATACATTTACAAATCAATGTTTCTATATTGAATTACATAATATTAAGAAAAACATCCACGTGATAGTAAATGGTGAAATTCTTCATTGAGTTCAGTTGATGGATCACAGAAATGGGTTAATATTAATATTTACACACACACATACTCTCACAAATACACGCTGGAGTGGACGCTTTCCCCTACCCCACAAACTCCCTCTCTCTCACTTCTAGGGAGAGGGGATGTGATGCCAAAACGGTCCGCCAGAGCGCATACCAACCGCCCGGCTTTGGACCAATGGGATGGAGAGACCTACCTATATAAACACGGATTTACTAACCCTTCAAATTTATCTATATAACATTCATGAGCGAAAAGAAGCTGGAAAAATAGTTACGAGGGATGTTAAAATTAAATTCCGAATAACTCAAAAAGTATACAATTTTTTGTGAATGTGTTATATGGTGTTTCAAAGGTATTTGAATTGCCTAAAAAACAAAAGAATTTTCATCGAAATCGAAGCACTATTAGTGGAGATATCGCGATTTTTAAATATTTTCATTTCACTCACGTATATATGTAATATATAGTAAGTGTAAGTATTGCGATCGAGAAAATTTTTGAATCTGAGTTTTCGACGCATTTATACGTTTTGAGGTACCCTGAGTCGAAATGACCAAGTCCCGAAAAATGGTCTGTGTGTCTGTGTGTTTGTATGTTAGCAGTCTAGCAGGTCTGACTGTCTCTGGATATGGGTTAAGTTGTTATAACAGGACCAGAAATTATCAAGTATAAATACATTTACAAATCAATGTTTCTATATTGAATTACATAATATTAAGAAAAACATCCACGTGATAGTAAATGGTGAAATTCTTCATTGAGTTCAGTGGATGGATCACAGAAATGGGTTAATATTAATATTTACACACACACATACTCTCACAAATACACCCTGGAGTGGACGCTTCCCCCTACCCCACAAACACCCTCTCTCTCACTTCTAGGGAGAGGGGATGTGATGCCAAAACGGTCCGCCAGAGCGCATACCAACCGCCCGGCTTTGGACCAATGGGATGGAGAGACCTACCTATATAAACACGGACATACTGACCTGAAAAAAAAAAAAAAAAAAAAAAAAAAAATGCAACGCAACAACAACATATCAGCAGCAGCAGCAGAAGAAGAAGGACCTCCTCATCTTTAATATTCCCTGCCAGCTACTCATCGTATCTTCTTACCAAGTCCAGCGCCTTAAGCTGTTGAGGGCCACACTTATCCCGTGGAACTCAACCTCGACAGCCAATCGGGCAGCGTCACACTTGTAAGAAGGTAGCTGCTCTACTACTCTATTGAGTAAGGGCAGCGTCGCCCTTACAAGCTGAATATGGCGACTAGCGCGCAGCCAGCGCATGAACAGATGGTGCTCGACCCGTACGAGCAAGAGAGATCATCCAAGAGGCAGCATCCGCCGGACAGCCAAGGCTTCAGGGAGGTCCCGAAGAAGAGAACCTTCGAGCCCCGACCAATAGCCCCAACCGCCCCTACACCTGTTTCAAACAGGTTCGATATTATAAGGCCCCAACCCGAAAAGAAGACAGCCAAATTACCGCCGCCGATTATTATAAACCCGCCGGTCTCCCAACGGTCCGTGAAGGAGATGCTCAACTCTGTGGGCATCGTACGATACACGACCAACTCCTCTGCGAAGGAAATCCGGGTGTACCTGGAGACCGACGCAGACCACCACAAAGCCGTCATGCTCATGAGGGGACACGACAGTGTTCAGTTCCACTCATTCGCTCCCAGAGGTACCCCACGGTCGAACAAATACATCCTGTACGGATTCGACCTCGCGACGGAGATGGAGTATATATGCGAAGAACTGAAAGAGAATCTCCCAGGCTTCAAGATGGCCCGCAGGCTAACGAAAACTTTTGACGGGCACAGTCACATAATCGAGCCCATATTATTAATCACAGAGCACACTGTGAAGATAAGCCACATAAGGGGGCTGAAGAACATCTGCCACACGCGCTTCCGTGTGGCAAACTTCAAAGAAGACGGGGCACCCGCCCAATGTAGGAACTGCCTACAATACGGCCACATTATGAAATATTGTGGTCGTGTTTGTGCATGCCCTCATTGCGGAGATGCCCACACGCTGGACAAATGCCCTCGTGCAAAAATAGTGCCCCCTAAATGCATCCACTGCCAAGGACCTCACCTCGCCTCGTCAAAGGAATGTGCTGTGAGGAGAAGCATCATAACCAAAAGAAGAGAAGAAGATGCTGCTCCTCAGAAAAAAGGCCGAAAACCCAGCCGGCTTGTAGAACAGGGACTGCCGTACTCTACGGCCAGTGGAGGTGAGCCGGTCCAATCAGGAGCGGCCGCTCGACCCCACCACCAGGACACCCCCCACCACCAGACTCATCCCCTCCCCCGGATACCCCAGCCAACAGTCCACGACCAACCGGCAGTACCCAGCAAGACGCCGAGGACTCAAGACCACCAGCTCACCGACCTCGTGATGCAGATGATGACGAGGATGGACAACATGCTCAACATGATAACCAGGCTCATCGAGACGGTGATGACCTCCAGGAGACATGACTGAGCACCTCGTCATCAATTATAATATCCGAGGCCTCTCTCAGAAGCAGGCTGAACTTGAGCTCCTACTGCAGCAGCACCGACCTACAGTTGTGGCGCTGACAGACACCATGCTATCCGCATCGTCTCGTCCATATTTTCACGGCTACACTATGTACCGGGAGGTGTGTACGGCGGGATCCCTGGAAGGCGTAGCTATCCTGGTCAGAAGAGACGTACCATCGAGAGTCGTCCCGAACCCAGTGGCGAGTACCGAGGGAACTCATCTGGTCACAGTTGACGTGCGATTGAAAAATCGATTCACGTTCACCTGTGTCTATAAGAGACCGAGGGCCATACTGACATCTGTGAAACTCCTGTTGCAACACGCTCAGACGGTGAGTCGGCATGTAGTCCTTGGGGACTTCAACGCTAGACACACCGCCTGGCTGTGTAGCAGTAACAACCCACTGGGAACGTATGTCACTAAGACCAGGTTGGCCGTCTTTCACCCCGGAGTGCACACCTTCAGGCATGCAGCGCAGCCCGACCGCACTTCAACGCTCGACCTGCTACTGACCAGAGATCTACACACCATCACGGACTGCCAAGCCCTTCCGTATGGCCCATCAGATCACCGGCCCGTGCTCTACACCATGGAGGGCACACCAGCCACACCACCGGCTACAAAATATCTGCTGTGCAAGGCCGACTGGAAAGGATACAGGTCCTGCGTTGAAGAGGCACTCCCCACCATCACACCCTGCAGAACACGAGACGACGTGGATAGAGCTGTGGATGTCATCACCACCACTATCCAGGAGTCAGCCAACAGGAACATCCCCAGGTTCTCTCCGCAGCCCAACGACCTCAGGAAACCCCCACGGCACATCCTCGCTCTGATTGGCCAGCGGAACAACCTAAGGAACATCTTCCAGCGCACGCGTGACTATGGCCTGAAGCCGGCCATCAACGCGATGACCCGACAGATAGCCAGCCTCATGCGTGACTGGAAGACGTCACTCTGGCACGAGCAGTTACGGAGGACCCACGACGACCATCGCCAGTTCTGGAGACTCGTCAGGACCTTCGTCAGTAAGAGGAGGAACGTGCACTTGACGTCGGGGAACGAGCTGCTGACACCTGAGGAACAGGCTGTACTCCTGGCCGAGAGCTATGCAGCGAAGGACGATGAACGGACGTGTAGTGCTCCACCCATACCGGAGGGACCACTACCTTGTCCCAACGAGAAGCCCATTTTCTCCACTATCAACCAGCTTGAGTCGGTACTAAGACGAATCAAGGGAAACAAAGCCTCCGGACAGGATGAGATCCCGTACGTTATGATGAAGATGCTCCCTAGAAAGGGCAAAGCCTTTCTATTGAACATCTTTAACTCGTGCCTACGAATCTCATACTTTCCGAATGCCTGGAAACGAGCGATCATAGTACCGTTGCTCAAGCCAGCGAAGAAAGGAGACTCGCCAGAGCACTACCGCCCGATCAGCCTCCTCTCGCACATCAGCAAGGTTTTTGAGAGACTGATACAACATCACCTCATCAAGCACTGCATGAAGGAGGACATAATCCCGCCGGAGCAGACAGGATTCCAGCGAGGGGTTGCCTGCGAGCATCACCTGGCCAGGCTACAAGCCCACACAATCCACCAGATGAACCAGAATAGAGCTACGGCGCTGATCTCACTGGACTGCAGTCAGGCCTTTGACTGCGTGCCACACACGCACCTGATTCGACGCCTGGAGGAGTACAGGTTTCCCGCCTCTCTGTGCCGACTGATCCGAAGCTATCTTAGCGGAAGATCGTTCGTCGTACGGGTTGGCGGAGACCTTTCTCCACCAGAATCTACCAGATGCGGTGTCCCTCAAGGGTCTGTATTGGGACCAATACTGTTTGTCGTTTATACGGCACCGGTAGTGGCACTCAAGCATCCAGGCACGATGGTAGCAGCCTATGCGGACGACATTGGCATCTATTCTTCCAGTTTCGACGCAGGAACGGCACTTACCCGAGTACAGAAAGCCTCAGCCACCATCGTTCGAGAACTCGAGGACAACGGTATCCGGGTAAACCCAGCGAAGACAGATGCCATTGTCTTATCCTTTCAGAAAGGCAAGAAGAGACGGCTACCGAGAGACTTCTCCATCAGTGGGGTAACCCAACCGCTCTCCCCTAGGATCGTCTACCTCGGCGTCACGCTAGATAGGCACCTGACCTTCACTAGCCACGTCAGGAGGAGGATCCTGCAGACAAGGAAGAAGACATATAGGCTATACCATCTGCTGACATCACCGCAGCTCTCTCTACGGCTCAAGCTGCAGATTTACAAGGCCATTATTAGACCGACGATGCTCCACGGTGCCCCTCTCCTCAGACACCTGTTCAAGACAACCCTACAACGACTGCAGAGCTACCAGAACTCTGTCCTTCGGCGAGTGGTAAGAGGAACCTGTCTCCAGAGGGCAAAGAACTCGGTCATTCACGAAGAGCTTCAGCTCCCGTCAGTGCCCGAGTTCATAGGCCGGAGGCACATCAAGTTCTTTGATGGGCTGAAGGCCTGTGCCAACCCACTCTTCAAAGATATCTCCCCACCACCCAGGCCCGGGAGGTGGCAGCGCAAGGTCCCCTTGGTGGATGTACTCGCCGAGGGAAGGGGTCTGGACACTGCAGTCCATATCCATAACATTAGTCTGTAGTTTTTAGTTTTAGTTTGTAGTTCTTAGTTTTAGTTTGTAGTTTTAAGTTTTAACTGTAACTAGATGAGCAGTCCCTCCCTGTTCAAACAGAAACTGTAAGGCTCCAGGCCGCTAAAGAGAAAAATGCACACAGCAGACCCTATCTCTCATACCTTAAAATACCTACGGGTAAAGAAAGGCTCTGAAATTTGTATATGTATATTGTAAATGTATCAATAAAAATTCCTGGGGGGTGAGAAAAAAAAAAAAAAAAAAAAAAAAAAAAAAAAAAAAAAAAAACCGCTGGCAAAGCAGTCGAATATCGTTCTCTGACCGGCTAAGATGACTGGACGTGGCAAGGGAGGAAAGGGTTTGGGCAAAGGAGGAGCCAAGAGGCATAGGAAAGTACTCCGTGACAACATCCAAGGTATCACCAAACCCGCCATCAGAAGACTGGCCAGGCGAGGAGGTGTAAAGCGTATTTCGGGTCTCATCTACGAGGAGACCAGAGGCGTGCTGAAGGTGTTCTTGGAAAACGTCATCCGTGACGCAGTCACCTACACCGAACAAGCTAAGAGGAGGACCGTTACCGCCATGGACGTCGTCTACGCTCTCAAGATGCAGAATCGTACTCTGTACGGTTTCGGCGATTAAGTTCGACGTCAACGTGTGTATCTGGTGACAGGGGCAAAGTTTTACCGGCCCTTTTCAGGGCCACCAAACATTTATACTGACTTTCTGAATATATTAAACACCACTGGCAGCATCTATAAACTCCTCTTAAATTTGTCATCGTCTTAGAAAATGTTTGTGACTGTATTTTCTATTAATATCCTTCTAGTAATTACGAAAGCCTGTACTTATGGAGTCCGGAATTCTCTTTTCAGGGCTACAAATCATTTGTTAACTTTCAACGTTCTTAAAACCTCTGAAACATCTATCTACCAGATGACGAAGTTACCGGAGCTAGAAAAAGAAAGAGAGAGACAGATAAATACTATTCATTTTTTTCTAAGGGAAGAGGGAGGGTGGTATGAGGAGAGTGGTACACAGTAGGTCTGACTGTCTCTGGATATGGGTAAAGTTGTTTTAACAGGATCAGAAATTATCAAGTATAAATACATGCACAAATCAATGTTTCTAAATTGAATTACATGATATTAAGGAAAACATCCACGTGATAGTAAATGGTGAAATTCTTCATTGAGTTCAGTTGATGGATCACAGAAATGGGTTAATATTAATATTTACACACACACATACTCTCACAAATACACGCTGGAGTGGACGCTTCCCCCTACCCCACAAACACCCTCTCTCTCACTTCTAGGGAGAGGGGATGTGATGCCAAAACGGTCCGCCAGAGCGCATACCAACCGCCCGGCTTTAGACCAATGGGATAGAGAGACCTACCTATATAAACACGGACTACCTAACCGCTGGCAAAAAAATAAAGACTTCAGCAGCAGCTGCAGAAGAAGAAGGACCTCCTCATCAGCTCTCTACTGCAACTGAAGACTTACGGTTGTTTAGCTTGCGCCCTTTAAAGCTGTCAAGGCCAAACTTATCACTTGGGCCAAACCTTGACAGAAACTCGATTGAGTAAGGGCAGCGTCGCGCTGACAAGCCGAGCGTTTTTTTCCACGCATCATGGCAACATCCGCGCAGCCCCCGCAGGAGAAGATGGTGCTCGGAGCCATCGAAGACGATGACACCAGAGGTGCCAAGAGGGCACATGAGAATGAGGGCTTCATACAAGTAAGCAAGAAGCACTCCTTTAGGTTCAGGCCCTCAGAACAAACCCAGGCCATCCCTGTTACCAACCGTTTCAGCCGACTGGCTGAAGAAAAACCCAAGCTCCCCCCGCCCATCGTAATATCGCCACCGTTGGCGATGAAGGACCTACAACAAACGTTGCTCACCCGAGGAATCTCGAAATTCTCGATAAATTCCTCTTCCAAAGAAACCAGGCTCTATCTGGAGTCCGAAAAAGACCATTTTGAAGCAACATTAATGCTTCGCGATGATCAACGCGTGCAGTTTCATAGTTTCGCACCTCGGGGAACCAGGAGGTCAAAAAAATATGTATTGTATGGGTTCGACCTTGACTACCCTGTCGAAAATGTCACCGAAGAACTCAAGGAGAGACTCCCTGGCTTCAAAATGGCGAGAAGGCTTACAAGGAGACAGGGCACCGAGCAGCCACGCCCAACTGAAATGATTCAAATCATAACTGAGGACACAGTGCGCCTGACCCACATCAGGAAATTAAAGGACATCAACAGAGTTCGCTTCAGAGTAAGCGAATTCAAAGAAGCTGCAGCTCCAGTCCAGTGTCGCAACTGTCAGGAGTATGGACACACAATGAAGTATTGTGGCCGAACCGTCGCTTGCCCCTGGTGTGGAGGGACACACCAACTTGAGCATTGCCCTGCAAGAACCCAAGAGCCTCCTAAGTGTAAACATTGCAATGGAGGCCACGCATCATCCAGCAGAGAATGCCCCGTGAGACTTCAGATGATAAAGAAGAGAACAGAAGTCTCTACTGTTGCCCAAAATAGACCAGCGCCTTCAAACAGGTCGAGTAGACGTGTACAGACCGGCCTACAATATTCCACGGCTAGTGGAGGAGCTCCGGCCCAATCAGAGGAGCCATCTGACCCCCACCAACAGCGCCATCCCCACCACCGGAACCATCCCCACCACCAGTCTACCTCCGTGGGTGCTGCAGAGGGACTGTCGCCAGAACCAGCCCAGCCTCCAAGGACTTCAGAAGCAACATTAGCCTCACTGGTAGAGAAGTTGTTGGACAGAATGGACACCATGCTCCATTTCATAACGACACTCCTGCAGACTGTGATGCCGAAGCCGACCCATGGTTGATCACCATGTGATCAACTATAACATCAGAGGCCTCGCTCAGAAACAGGCCGAAGTCGAGCTTCTCCTCCAGCAGCATAGGCCTACAGTGGTGGCGCTGACTGATACCATGCTTCACACCTCGACTCGTCTGTACTTTCAGGGGTACACTGTGTACCGAGAGGTGTGCGCACCAGGGTCATGTGAGGGCGTAGCCATCCTCGTCAGAAGAGATGTACCGTCGAGAGCTGTTCAGAACCCAGTGGATCCAACCGAGGGAACTCACTTAGTCACAGTTGACGTGAGACTTAAGAGTCGATTCACGTTCACCTGTGTCTATAGGAGACCTAGGGCCATACATACATCTGCAAAGTTACTGCTACAACACGCCCAGGCGACGAGTCGGCATATAGTCCTCGGGGACTTAAATGCTCGACACTCTTCCTGGCTGTGTGGTAGTGATAATCCACTGGGGAAGTACATCACCAAGACTAGGTTGGCCGTCTACCACCCAGGTGTACACACCTTCCGGCATTCAGCCCGACCTGATTGGACTTCAACGCTGGACCTGCTACTAACCAGGGATCTGCACACCATCACGGATTGCCAAGCGCTCCCGTATGGACCGTCTGATCACCGGCCTGTGCTCTACACAATCGAGGGCACACCCGCCACACCACCGGCGAGTAAATACTTACTCCATAAGGCCGACTGGAAAAGATACAGGTCCTGCGTTGAAGCCAGTTTGCCGGCTGTAACGCCGTGCCGGACAGCGGAAGAGGTTAACGAGGCGGTGGATGTCATCACCACCACTGTCCAGGATTCAGCCAACCAGAACATTCCTAAGTTTGCCCCGCAGCCCAACACAATAAGGAGACCGCCACGTCACATCCTAATCCTGATCAGCCAAAGGAACAATCTGAGAAACATCTTCCAGCGTACGCGTGACTACAGCTTGAAACCGGCCATCAATGCGATGACCCGGCAGATAGCTAGCCTCATGCGTGACTGGAAAACCTCACTCTGGCATGATCAACTCCGGAGGACTCATGATGACCATCGCCAGTTCTGGAGACTGATCAGGACATTCGTGAACAAGAAGAGAACTGTCCACCTTACATCGGGGAATGAGCTGCTCACAGCTAAGGAACAGGCTGAACTCCTGGCCAAAAACTACGAAGCGAGGGATGCTGAGAGGACTAGAAATGCACCACCAATACCGGAGGGACCGCTGCCCAGTCCTAACGATGAACCTGTCTTCGCAACCTTCAACCAGCTAGAGTCGGTACTACGGCGCACCAAAGGAAACAAATCGTCTGGACAGGATGAGATACCGTACGTTCTGTTGAAGATGCTCCCTAGGAAGGGTAAAGCCTTCCTACTGAACATCTTTAACTCATGCCTCCGAATCTCATACTTTCCCAAGGCATGGAAACAAGCGATCGTAGTACCGCTACTCAAGCCGGCGAAGAAAGGGGACTTAGCAGAGCACTATCGTCCGATCAGCCTCCTCTCGCACATCAGCAAGATTTTTGAGAGGCTAATTCATCACCACCTAATGAAACACTGCTGGAAGAATGAAGTCATACCACCAGAGCAGACTGGTTTTCAGAGAGGGGTCTCGTGTGAACATCATTTAGCGAAACTCCAGGCCCATACATTAGACGAGATGAGTCTCAACAGAGCTACGGCGCTAATCTCCTTAGACTGCAGCCAGGCCTTTGACTGCGTGTCCCACACGCATCTACTCCGCCGCCTGGAAGAGTTCAGGTTTCCTGCCACTCTATGCCGAATGATCCGAAGCTACCTCAGCGGAAGATCTCTCGTCGTACGAGTTGGCACAGACTGCTCAAACCCAGTCGATACCACCTGTGGAGTACCTCAAGGGTCTGTGCTAGGGCCAATACTGTTCGTCGTCTTCACGGCACCAGTAGTGGCACTCAAGCATACAGGAGCGATGGTAGCAGCGTACGCCGACGACATCGGCATCTACGCATCCAGCCTCAATGCGAAGACGGCGCTCACTCGGGCACAGAAAGCTTCAGCCACCATCATAGAAGAACTAGAAGCAATCGGTATCAGAGTGAACCCCGCGAAGACTGATGCCATAGTCATGTCGTTCCAGAAGGGAAAGAAGCCACTGCCCAACACCTTCACCGTCGGAGAAGTTGACCAGAAAATCTCCACTTCAATCGTCTACCTCGGCGTCACATTGGATAGGCATCTAACCTTTTCCAGTCACGTCAGGCAGAGGATCAAGCTGGCACGGCAAAAATCCCATCGCCTCTACCATCTACTGAATTCGCCGCAGCTCTCACTGAGACTAAAACTGCAAATCTATAAGGCCATTATAAGACCCACGATGCTTCACGGGGCCCCTCTCCTGCGCTACCTATACAACTCAACACTCAAGAGACTACAGGGCTTCCAGAGTTCTATCCTTCGACGAATTGTCCGGGGCACCACCCTGCAAAGGGCTAAGAATAAAAGTATACGAGAGGAGCTCCAGCTCCCCTCGGTACCTGAGTTCATAAGCCGGAGGCACATCAAATTCTTTGATGGGCTGAAGGCCTGTGCCAACCCTCTATTTAATGTCATTTCACCACCAACCAGACCAGGAAGGTGGCAGGGTAAACTCCCTTTGGTGGACATATTCGCCGAAGGATGTGGTCTGGACCCTTGAGTCCAGATCCAAATGTATATATTGTAAATATTTGTATTGTATATATTGTAAATAAATAAAATTAACCTGCTGAGCTGTCCCTCCCTGCTCAATATTAAAATTAAGGCCAATG